CCCCCCCCCCCCCCCCCTTACACTTTTATACCCTTTTTAATCATGTGACATTTATATGGCGCAAATCCGTGTTACAATCACTCTTCTATGCGCTTTACTTTTAAATTATTAATTATAGCATTCATGAAAAACATGCATACACACATGTGACATAATAATTCAATACGGTACAAGCGGAACTTTTCCAGAAAAGCTTACGGTGTCATTTAACCACCTTAACCGCACCGGTGTAATCAAAATTAGACTAGATCTACATGTCATGTAGCCCAGATATCTACCAGTGTATAAAGTGCAAGATGGAATATTATTTAATATATATATCGTGCTTGCCGCTCGAGGTCCAGTGTATCGCCACGGTACAATGCAGTGCTTACCGCTCGAACTTACTCTAAGTAGTCTAAGTGAATAGTGTAGTTACTCTCTTTTCATGCTATATAAAAAAAAATTACGTTGTCATAAATTATATTTTCATGGATTATTTTTTACACCTTACAAAAGTGTAATCTTACATTGGTTCAAACCGCCCTTCCTCCCACTCTTTCTTACACTTTACTTTTACAGGAGTCAAAGACTCCCCCCCTTCCCCCCCCCCCTTCTTTTTTTTCTTGGCGTAAGATGATATTATTTGAAGGTCCCCTTTAGGGTTTTTGTGGATGAATCGATCCATGTCTAGATCTACCCTCCTAGCCTAAGATTTAAAGTCTTTCACACATTTTTATACTAGATCTATCTACCTGGTGTTACGGATCCAAGCAAGCTAAGTAATCAGACGACAGTGTTTACGATTGATTTACTCTAGATCTAGATTTAGCTAGACTAGAAGATGATTCAGTCCAAACAAGACTATTGGGTCGGTTTGCTCGCAGATTGATGGTGCAAAGTGGCTATCGTGGCACAAGTCGATCGCGCCCAACTCGTTTCAAAACAAACATGTTGTTTTCTGGCGACGAGTCAGGCGATCATCTTGACCCGACCTGACCCGGCCCGCGGGTCTCTGGGCAGCGGCGGGCACCCTGTAGTGCAAAGGAGCGAATTGTCCCCCGTGACGTCATTATTTTTAGTCGTGGAAGAAAATTTTGGTGTTTTTAATGAAATTTTATTATTATTTTTACAAATTTTGCGGGAAATTGTCTAAAATTAGTGAATTCATGAAAATGGTAAAAGTTGCGCGCGCAACTTGCGGGTTGCGAGCGCGAATTTCTCTGAGGACAGACTGGGGGAACAAATGTGTCAACTGGGGGAACAAATGTGTCAACTGGTGGAACAAATGGGTCAACTGGGGGAACAAATGTGTCAATTGGGGGAACAAATGTATCAAATAGGGGAACAAATGTGTCAACTGGGGGAACAAATGTGTCAACTGGGGGAACAAATGTGTCAACTGGAGGAACAAATGGGTCAACTGGGGGAACAAATGGGTCAACTGGAGGAACAAATGTATCAAATAGGGGAACAAATGTGTCAACTGGGGGAACAAATGTGTCAACTGGAGGAACAAATGTATCAAATAGGGGAACAAATGTGTCAACTAGGGGAACAAATGTGTCAACTGGAGGAACAAATGTATCAAATAGGGGAACAAATGTGTCAACTGGGGGAACAAATGTGTCAACTGGGGGAATAAATGTGTCAAGTGGAGGAATAAATGTGTCACGACGCTTTGGAATCAAGCGCTCGTCAATTTTTGTGCTTGTGGAGTTATTGCTATCATCTTGTTCATTTATCTTGCTCTTGATGAAAAAAGTATCCATCTTGAGCAGAAGTGAAGGTATTTGTGATTGAAAGTGCTAAGTTTATTTGGTTTCAGCGGTAAAAAAATATAGAGAAAATGGCCACCAAAGTTTGGTAACTTCGATCGCTAAAGAGTCCTTGAGAACTGAAAAATTACATATTTTGAGCTTTTTATCAACGTTTTTCAATATAATTCACGTGGAAATGTGTTTTTATTTGAGCAGAAAAGGGTTGAACATTAAACCAAAAATTTGATTATAATTGCGAAACTGGTGGGAAAATGCCTGATTTCACCACAATGCCTCATATATATATATATATATATATATCGTCGGCAGAGAATTTTAACCGTCAAACTCCAAATTTTCTCGAATTGCTTTTTTCCTTAAAATAGATTGACATAACGAATGGCTACGTCCTATTAAAATCTAGAACAATTTTGACAAACAAAAGTCTTGTTTTAAAGAGAAATTCTAACCGTATATTCCGACTGACTTCCGTGACTGAAGAATTCTAACTGTTTAACTCGTTTAGGTAGTCCGCCATTGTGGATCACGACGATAACGTTACGCTCTGAAGGAGGCGTTTGATTATAAATAAAATTCTTTTTTCCTTAAAATAGATCCACATGACGAATGGCTACATCCTATTAAAATCTAGAACAATTTTGACAAACAAAAGTCTTGTTTTAAAGAGAAATTCTAACCGTATATTCCGACTGGCTTCGGTGACTGAAGAATTCTAACCGTCTAATTCGTTTAGGTAGCCCGCCATTGTGGATCACGGCGATAAAGTTTTGCTCTGATGGAGGCGTTTGATTTTAAATAAATGTAAAATCAGAAAAGGCTGCTTTTGTTAAAGGGTTGGTTGACTGTGTCGAGCCTGTGGAGAAAAAGGAAAAAGAAAGCAGAAGATCGTGGTCCATGAAGTACCATCTGCGAGTGAATGGGGCCAGAGTCAAAGAGTGCACGGTTTTCTTCTTAAGTCCTGTACTTTGTTACTAGTGTGTTCACATTGTTCTTACATCTGGGTTGGGTGTAGCAGAGGGTGAGGTTCCAGTTCAGAGAAAAAGGGTTAGGGAGGAGACTACAGCATCAAAGGTACTTAAACAGTTTCTTCGTGATCTGCCCAAATTGCCGTCTCACTATTGCCGAAGGACTCCAGTAAGTTATACTTGGAACCTGTTTTCCAGAGCTTACAGGCAGTGTACCGCCGTTTGTATAAAGAAAAGTATGAGTGGGGGGGAGGGGGGGGGTACTTTCTACCTTCAAGTTTAAAGAGAAGATCAATGCTATGAACCTGTCATGGTTCC